GATGGCAGGCAGAGGTCTGCTCTCAGGCATGGCTGGTCCTGGTGTGGGGGGGGGCGGTTCTGGGGAGAGGTCTCCTGGTCACTGGGCCCTCCCTCTGCTCTCTTCTGGCCTTCTCACAATGAACAGCCCTTTCCCCCGCCACCTTCCCAAGGGCAAGGAACATATTCTCCGCAGAAGGTGGGCTGGTGCTCTGGCAGGCAGGGGTGGGGGAGGGCCTGGGGTGATGCTGCCTAGACACATGGAGGCAGGGCTGGCTGTGTGGGAGTCACAGGGGGCTGCCCACTCACAAGAGCTTGCTTTAATGCTCTATTGGTTGCCCTGAAATTCTAACCATTTTTCTTTCTTTTTCATTTCTTTCTTTTTCTCTCCTTCTTTCTTTCTTTCTTTCTTTGTTTTCTTTCTTTCTTTTTTTGGTGAGTCACAGGGCTTGAACTCTGGGCCTGGGCGCTGTCCCTCAGCTCTTCAGTTCAAGGCTGGTGCTCTACCACTTGAGCCACAGCGCCACTTCTGGTTTTCTGGCAGTGAATTGGAGATAAGAGTCTCACAGACCTTCCTACCTGGGCTGGCTTCCAACTAGATCCTCAGATCTCAGCCTCCTGTGGAACTAGGATTACAGGCGTGAGCCACCAGTGCCCGGCTCTTTCCTCTTTTACTTTTTTTATTTATTTCTTTCTTTCTCCTTCCTTCCTTCCTTTCTTCGTTCCTTCCTTCCTTCCTTTCTTCCTTCCTTCCTTCCTTCTTTGTCGGTCATGGGGCTTGAACTCTGGGCCTGGGCGCTGTCTCTCAGCTCTTCAGCTCAAGGCTAGCGCTCTACCACTTGAGTCACAGCGCCACTTCTGGCTTTTTCTGCTTATGTGGTGCTGAGGAATCAAACCCAGAGGCTCATGCATGCAAGGCAAGTGCTCTACCACTGAGCCACCTTCCCAGCTCTCTTTCTTTTTCTTTTCTTCTTCCCAGTACTGGGACTTGAACTCAGGATCTCATGATCTCTTTCAGTTTTCTCACTCAAGGCTGGCATTCTACACCTCCACTTCTGGCTCTTTTGCTGGTTAATTGGGGACAAGACTTTTCTGCCTGAGCTGGCTTCCAACTATGATTCTCAGAGCTCAGCCTCCTGAGTAGTTAGGATTACAGGTGTGAGCCACCAATCCCCTCTTAACAATTTCTGAACAAAAGCTCCACATTTACGTCTCGCATGGATCCTACCAAATTACATGGTTGTACAAAACATGCCCATACATTGGGCTGGGAAGGCGGCTCAGTGGTAAAGCGTTTGCCTTGCATGCCAGAGGCCCTGGGTTCGATTCCTCAGCACCACATAAGCAAAAAGAAAAAAGCCGGAAGTGGTGCTGTGGCTCAAGTGGTAGAGCACTAGCCTTGAGCTG